TACGTTACTCCGTGGTATTTGCAGATCTTTACATGACATGGGTTATAAGCAGATCTGTTATATAACTTGTTTCCTCTAGCAAAAATATTCTACAGGTATAGGATGTTTTTCCACAACTGGCTTCCTGTTGCACAGAAAGTAACTGTGCAGAGCAAATCCTGTTGCTCAAAAGGGTATCAGACAAAAAAAAAGGAAAAGAAAAGGAAACAGTAGGGATTGGTGGGAAAATAAAGCATGAGGTTAGGAGTCTACTAGGAAAGGAGTTATTTGGAAAGCAGTTCCCATAAACACCCCAGGACATGGTCCCAAAGCATCCCTAGTTATTGGTGGTACTTACCTGGGCCTTATTGCCAGAGGAGCATGCATGCCAGAGGGACGTGTTCTTAGCCCCATTTTGGAGGGAGAGAAAAAAGGTAAGGGTGATCCTCCCCCTCTACGCGACGCTGGTCAGGCCACAGCTGGAGTATTGTGTCCAGTTCTGTGCGCCCCATTTCAAGAGGGATGTGGACAACATGGAGAGGGTCCAGAGGAGGGCCACCCGCATGATCCGGGGACAACAGGGCAGACCCTACAGTGAGAGACTGCGGGACCTGAACCTATTCAGCCTCCACAAGAGAAGGCTGAGGGGGGACCTGGTGACCGTCTATAGACTCACTAGGGGGGACCAGAAGGGTTTGGGGGAGACGCTGTTTCCCCTAGCGCCCGCTGGCATAACAAGGAGCAATGGGCACAAGTTGATGGAGAGGAGGTATAGATTGGACATCCGCAAAAACTACTTCACAGTTAGGGCGGCTAGGAGCTGGAACCAACTTCCAAGGGAAGTGGTGCTGGCCCCTACCCTGGGGGTCTTTAAGAAGAGGCTGGATGCCTACCTGGCTGGACTCATTTGAGTCCCGTTTCTCTTTTTGGGGTTTTTTTGTTGTTCTCCCGCCCTGGCGGGGGGTCGGGCTAGAAGATCTACTAGGTCCCTTCCGACCCTTAATCTATGAATCTATGAATATCCAAAAAGGGATGTAGGTACCTTGTGTGTGAGCCACAAAAGTTCTCTCTAATTGCTTAGGTACCTGAGATCCTGTAAATACCTGAATATCTACCAGCAGTTACTTACCTCCTCGGCGGGTTTGATTCCTGCTACACCCAAAGTTTAAAACCAACTGACTGGCAACGGCGGCAGCATTTCCATTCAGGCAGCAGCGAGGGAGTCAGTCGACTTCACGGCTCATTATAATCTACCTGATTCATGGGGGTTAATGATCTTCTCTCCTTTCTAATGGTCTTTAATGGCTCCATGAACCAAGTTATCCTTTGTTCTTCTGTCTCTTAGCTGCTCTTGGTAATGCATCTCCTGTTCCACAGCCCTGCAGACTGATTTTAACTTTAGCTAGAAACATTAACTCAGGTGCGGAAATAACACAGGTGAGCATTAAGTCGGGTGTGGAAATAACACAGGTGAGCATTAAGTCGGGTGTGGAAACCACTTTCAGTGAAGCACTGAACGCACTGGCAAGATGCTCAAGAAGGCTGGATTTTGTTTTATGAATCTGAAGGCGATGTACATTGATTTCTAATGAAAACAGGACTAATGAAACAACATCTGTTGATTGTTTTGTATACATACTATGAGATAACAAGTGAATGCACAGCCCAGTAAAGTTTTATTTGTTTTTGCTGAATAATACAGCCCTGGAGCCCTAGCTTATTTAGTAAAGCTTCTAGTTTACCTGGGGGAAAATGTGTGCTGTGTTATATTTGATGATGCACTGCTCTGCACCCCTCTTTTAAAAATCCTAGACCCTCCCATGGAGCGACTACCTATTCTTCCTTTCAGAGCTGTGCCGCTGTGCAGAAAGCACTACAAGCTTCATGGGGCGGAGAGTAATCAGAGAGGAGCATGACTGTCACCTTGTGATGGGGCATTTCCCAGAGAAGAGAGAGCCCTGGGTACTGATCCTGGCTTCCAGGGCTGCTTATGCATTTTGCATCAGAGTCATAAGTTATGTGGACAGCAGGCACTGGGACCCATGCCTCCCTCTTCCCAAAGGAGCGCCTGCACCACTAGGATTTAGGCAGCCTCCCCCTTGCTTGCTTCTCTTTTCTCTCTCCTCTTCTCTGGCTGCAACTCAGCCTAACCTCTGTACTGGTGGTGAAGGCACTGTTCTGGGAGGAAGGTAATGTGGATTTGAGTCTCCGTAGGCTGAAGAGGATGGTTACACCCCGAGCAAATGTGCTAATCACTATTAAACACAAGATGGGCAATAGCAGCCTTTTACCAGAGAAGAGTGAGCCAGTCATAAGTATCCAAAGGGACTTAGATGCCATCTAATAAAAGATATCATCTCTACTATGAGTCTTGTTTGCCAAAGGGACGTAGATCCTTTTAAAGCCCAGAGATATATGCGACTATGAATATAGCTGAGTTATCCCTAAGGAAAGAGAGAGAGACCTTGATAACCTTGTAAGAGCGTCCATCTCCTTCCTTCCCATCCCTTCCTGCGTGAGCCCTCGACTTTGACTCCTTAGTCAGCCTCATGGCCCAGGCCAACTTCTTGGCTTCTTCGAAAGAAAGCCTGTGCTGAGTTGTGTGTGTTGATAAGAAAGTCCAGGAGACAGCTGAGCAAGCAGTTGTTGGCTGAGCGAGGAGCCTGTCCCTGTACATGCTCTGCAGGAGATCCCCGAGCAATGGTGTATTGGGATCAAGGCTAGGGAAGGTGGGTGCATCAAGCTTGCATCCCCCCGTCCCTGTAACCTCCTTGAGGGAGTTGTATGTTCACCGTCTCAGTGTCCCTGTGTGAGAAGTGAGACCAATGGGGCTCTCCCATTTCACAGAGCGCTGCAAGGGTGAATGACAAACGCATATAAAGGGCTGCAGGATACTCACTGGGACGATGCTATAGCCATTTCATATCCCTGTTCATTATGGAGACTTCAGACTGTGCTTGGCAGCTCACAATGTTACCTTTAGCCTGATCAACCACAGTGCAGTTCAGCTGCCTCTGCCAAACCTTGCAACCATGCTGCATTGCAGGTCTGTCCCCTGGCCCTGCTCTAACACACCTGCCCTCCAGTTTGGGAGCCTGGCTTTTGAAGCTCGAACGTTTGGGGTTGGCAACACTGACTGGAGCATGTTATGGTGCAATCTCCATCCTTGGAGGTTTTTAAGACCCGGCTAGACAAAGCCTTGGCTGGGATGATGTAGTTGGGGGCTGGTCCTGCTTGGAGCAGGGGGTTGGACTAGATGGGACCTCCTGAGGTCCCTTCAACCCCCATTTCGTATGATTCGATGACTCTGTTGATCAGCTTTTCCTTCCTTCACCCCTTCCTGCACAAGCTGCGGCTTAAAGACACTTTCCAACTCAAAAGAGGATGTTGTTAGTCTTCAGTCCCGGTGAGGCCTAGTTTGGTTTCCTGTGTGACTTGTCGGGTGCTGCTGATGTGCCACAGCAGGTTTTCAGTGCTTGGGCTGCAGGCAAATAGTTTACTTAGCTGTGATTGTTCACAGGCCTGAAATGGCATCGGCATGGCTTGTTACAAGACTCTTCCCAGACGAGCGCTGTACCTCTAAAGCATGAAGTCAGTGGTGCTGAGGAATTCTGCACAGCCATGCAATTGCTATTACAAAGTGCAGACACCTCGAATTCCTTGTACCTGGTTTGAATCATCTCCCTGGAATGGCCACGAGGTATTCTTTTCCACTCCCCCTTTCATTGCACTGCATTGTACTTACTATTAGGAAGTGTCCCAGAGACCTGCAAATGGTAACGACTGCTGCTTAATCAAGACAATGTTAGCAAAAATTCCACTCAATACAGACCCACTTAGGTCGTGCCAGGGAATTAAGTGGTGTCCAGCTGTGAACGTGCCTGGTGTCTTTACACTGATATGTGCAATGGCTCGAAACCCGGGATGTTGTCATTGCCTCCTGTTCCTGTCCCCTTCCCGCCCTACACCCACCAACTTTGTTCCTTATCTTCCATCATAGTTTTCCCTAAAGGATTAACTTGTATTGATCTAAACGTCAGGTGACAGATTTGTCATGTGCCCAAAGGTGCAGATAGCTGTCTAGTGGGCCTTTCAAAACTGCTGAGGGCTCAACTCTCAATTTTGAACTTTGCCTCTTTTGGTACCTAAATGCTTATAAACATTGGGGCCTAGGCTGAGAACGCCTGTCACCTCTGGAGCCACTGGTTCAAATTACTAGTAACATTTGGGCATCCAGCTCATGGACGTTGACCCTTTGGGGCTGGCAATAGTAACTCCGTAGCTCAGCTCTTCCTTTCGGTCACCACTCCACAGCATGAGGTCCCATTGTGTTGAATACGCAACAAAGAAAGAGAGAATCTATTCTAGATGCTTATATGGCTCTTCTATTACCACCACATCTGCATGTGGCATTATCTTTATTGTTTTCATCCTCACAATCCCCGAGTAGGGGAGGATGATGCTGTTATCCCCATTCTACAGATAGGGAGCTCAGGCCCAGAAACATGAGCTGATTTGCCCAAAGTCACACAGAAAATATATAGCAGAGGTGGGCCTGACATCTCCAGGGTCCTATTTCAGTGCCTGAACTGCAGCATCCCCTTTCCTCTTCTGCACTGCTGATGGCTCTTATTTCCTTGGATTAGATCCTAATCACTGGATTTTTAAAAATAACTGAACAGCATTAGCACAGATCTTATGAAGAAGATAATCCAGTCTGACTGGTGCCATGGCTTCTGCTAAGTATGCGCTAACTGCATGAGAATCTGCAGTTTAAGGAATTAAAATACAAAGAATCATGTCCCATAGGTTTGTTTTGGGGGAATTTTTTTTTATTTTTTGGTAAGGGACGGGAGTATGCCTCAGTGTTGTTATCTAGTTTTCCCCTTTTCTCTAATTTGTGCTAGTCGCCCTCTGCTTTCCACCCCGGAGCCAGCTCCATTTCTGTGCGTGCTTGATAAAAAATACGGTGTACACATACATTCATTGGCCCATTAACACTGCTGTACCTTTCTGCACAGGCCTGCAAGATGACAACGACCTGAAGTTCCTCCTGAAGGGCAGCCAGCTGCTGAAAGTGAAGTCAGGCTCTTGGAGAAGGGAAAGGTTTTACAAGCTCCAGGAAGACTGCAAAACCATCTGGCAGGAATCCAGAAAGATGCTGAGGTCTCCAGAGTCACAGCTCTGTAAGTGCCCATTTGTCCAGTAGCATGGTGTCTGGAGAGGTGAGGGGCTGGGGATATTGGTGATTGGGGCCGAGGCAGGGGGAATGAATCCCTCAAACCTTCTTTTCTTGTAATCCAAGGACAGGGTGTTGTGACCCTAACCCTGTCCCAGTATGACATCCGCATGCAGCCCTCCCAGCAACACTGAGCAATCAAAAGCCTGGGCTGGTGAGGAGAGGCTTAGACTCCTCTGGGTTTATATAAGGATACAGACACCCAGGGGAAAATCCAGCAGAGCATGGTCCTTTTGTTGCAGCTTGGAGCACTGACCTGTTCCCATGGGAAAGCAGAGCAAGACCCTGGCTTGGCTTCAATGAAATGTGGAGATCAAAGGGGAAAAAACCTAGGCAAGGCAGGCAGGGGTCGGGGGAGAGGGGAGGGAGCAAGGGAGGGGGGCATTGTTTCTTCCTCTGGCTTCAAACAAGCAAGGTTTGATCTTATCATTTATTTAGAAACTTGAAACCTGCCCATTGTCACCAGAGGTAAAAAGTCCGGAGATGACAATTCTCATCAAATGAATGCAAAGAAAGCCCAGCTCCCGTTATTATTACACTGCAGTAGTGCGCACAGGACCAGCACCCAGCGCTGTGCAGCTGCAGCAAAACCCATTTCCCTGCCCCAAAGAACCTGCAGGCTAAGTGATCAGTCACTGCTAATAAATTACTCTCCCCAGCGCGGATCCTAAAAGGAAGAGACTAGATCAAAGTGTGGCATGGCTGTACGCCATCCTGCCATTTGCCAGGTCCCTTCCTAGGTGCGAGGGGATATGGCTTCCAAAGCAGCCCCCACAACTTCTGCCATGGGGAGCAAAGAGAAGTCCTGGCTACCAAGACAGTAGTGGGAAAAGCGGGCAGTGCCTGAAGCTATTGGATTGTAGACTATTCAGGCCTTTACCTAGTCACGCAAGTCTCGTAGTAGAGATGATATCTTTTATTAAACCAACAAGATTTTTGCAAAAAGAGTTCTTTAATTTTTTGATTTGCAAAAATCCTGTTGGTCTAATAAAAGGTATCTCTACTACAAGTCCTGATTGCCTTTTCCTCTAGACCAATACGGCTCCACCTGGATACCCTTTACCTAGTCACAGCCCTTCAGCACAAAGCCCACCCAAGATCTGGTGACAAACCCTTGCTGAGGGAAGAGGGAAAAGGAGGACAATCGCTGCGATAGTTGTGTGTGTGTGTCTGTGCATGCACGCATGCATCAGGGTTGGGGGGCAGGTTAAGTGGATATTTGTGTTTCTCTTTGTTCTCTTAGCCAGCCTTGCCTTTCTCTGGTAAGTTTTTTCTGCTTAGGTTTATGTTATAAAGACTGGAGGTGAAGAGAGTAATCCCAGGGGCAGTTCTGTAGGGTATCGGAAGGCAAGTTCCTATGGCCCATGGTATTTGTATAACATTTTCCTCTTACAATTGAAGCAAATGAAAGACCTGCCCCTTTGCATTATTACTCAAGTCAGTGGCTCTCACTCCTATAAAAGCACCTAGGATTACTCTCATGGGTAAGAGATTGCCACACTGAAGCCTTGCTCCTTAGAGGATGGTGATTTTGTGTTGAAGGTCTGAGATGAAGACTTCTTGCCTCTGCCACTGCCTGCACGTGTGGTCTTGGGCATGTTATCCTATCTCTTTGTGCTGCTTCAGTTCATAGTGTTCCCTTTCTGTCCTTCTAACCAGCCTGTTTATATTGGAAACTCCTCAGGTTAGGGACTGACAGTCATTAGGTATTTGTGACTGATTCACCAGCAACAGCCCTAGCTAATGCACGCTCCCCAGTTAACTCCCATTCATAAAGTTTATTGTCCAGAATGGAGGTAACCCCAGAAAGCCTTTGCCTGGATAACTTTGAGTTGCAAAACAAACAAAGGTGTGAGTTTTGAAATGCATTGCCTTCCTACCAGAAAAGCAAGGCAACAAAGATAACTCCCCTTCCAGACTCAATTGGGATCCTGGGCTTTTAAGCGTGTTGGAGAACGGTGCGTGGCTGGGTCAGTGCAGTTATTTGTACTGAGCTTCTTTAATGCTCTAACCCAGCTGTTCTCAGAGGTACCTAGCCAAAACTTTCTTCTGATACCCCCAGGGCCCCTGTGCTGTATGGTTATTAGAAACCAACACAGAGCTGGCAAATGCTTGCGACCTCCATTGGATCTTAGCTGGAGAAAAGCGATTCTAACACACTGCTATCTTATCTCGATCAGTGATTTTCAATTTGGGTGCCATGAGATCCTTTAAGGGTGATGCACGGCGAGAAGCGATATGCACAGGCTCGTGTGCCCAGCCGCTCATTCCCCTCCACCCACCACCACTGCTCGGCCCCTCTGCAAGGAGCCAAGCACTATCATAAACAGATTAATTTTTTAAATAGGGTGCCTCTCAATTCCCAGAAGTTATGGAAGGGAGCCCTGTGTCTTAAAAGGCTGAGACCCACTGATCTGGATTAACTGTACTTTCACCACTGTTGTTATATATTAAGATAATGCCTCCTCGGTGTGGTTCACTGGCTCAGCAGGCAGTAAGTGTGAGCACTTTGAAAGCAGAGTAACTTACCTTGCGCTGTATCTGGAGAGGATCCACACAGGCACTGCGTGCAGAGTAGCTAGTCACTCCCTCTGTAGTGATTTCCTTGTATCGATAAGCCCTGACTAAGAGACAGCCTTTGCTCTGGGTAAGGAAAATGGACAAGACCAGCGAGGGAAATTTTAATATTTACCCTTTTTTACAAAGTGAAAACAGAGGCACAGAGAGACTTTCCCAGAGTCTCACTGGGAATCCCAGGTCATTTTGGGAACTAGACCAGTACTTCCCAATGCCTCATCAGAGAGGAGGACCTGCTCACCAGTGGGCTAGTTGCTCTGCCTCTCTGATAATTTGAGATTGATACTGGATTTCAAACCTAATATTTGCTGTTGATCAAAGGCCTTGTAGCTTTTTTTTATACTTAACCCAACTTATACATTTATACAACTTATACAACTGTAACCCAACTTATACATTTAAAATAGGAATTAAGAGGGCAGGGAAAATACCGGCTTGGGAGTCAAAAGTCCTTATTTCATAAACTACAGAACTCCTCTGGCGTCATTGCTGTGTGTAGCAGCTAATACAGGATGGCATGGGGTGGGGGCTTGTTATTCTGCCCTGTTTCAGCGATCCTTGCAGGGCTGGGTTTTCAAAAGATTTTCAATGTGTGTGACCTTTGTGACCAGGTGTCAGTGTGAAACCTGGTCCCAGACAGAGCTGCCTAAAGTGGATCGCTTTTGAAAATCTTGCCTCAGCTCCAGGTGCTTTGAAAATGCAGGTCCCATCCCCGTGTTCATTGCCAGGCACTCTGATCCACCTTTATTTGCTTTCCGATCGGACCGATTACTTTGCACGTTGCACTTGGATTCATTTCTGCGGCAGCAAACAGAATTGTCCGAGGCTGAAGGGAGTGATTCACTTCAAGTGAACAACGAGCAAGAATATTGCCTCTGCAGCCAAGTAGTTGCATAGCCCAGCGAGGCCTCTCATGAGAGAGAGAAGGAGAGAATTAAGTCTGGGGCACAGAGAGTGGAGAAAAGACTGGGTCTGTGTGGCGGTCCCGACACTAGCCGCATGTCCTGACACTAGCCACGTTTGCTTCCTGGCCTCAGCAGAGCCGTGGCTGCGCTGTCTCGGGGCAAGCAAGCTGGCTGTGAAAAACTGCCCAGTGCATGGAGTGGTCTGAAGCCACGATGCAGAAGGAGAGAGGGGGTGGGCCTCAGCCTCTCCTTCCTTAGAGAGGTCCACTGCTCCCAGCAGCAGGTTGCCCTGCTGGCCCATTCAGAGGATGCGGAGCCACGGTCCTGTCGCCTTAGGGGAGAAGCTGGGAGGACAGGCGCTGAACTCGGTGGCGATCGGAAGAATGTGTCTTTCCTCTCTTCGAATACAGGCTTCAAATCAAGGGGCTGGTCTCTGGATTGACCCTGGGTCTGTACCCAGGGGATTGGAAAAGAGGAAATGCACGTCCTTCCTATCACAGCCGAGGTCTGGCTCCATTTGAAGTGGGGCATAAAAAGGGTCAAGCTGGTTTATCGAGGCCCCCACACAACTCCAGCTGGCTCCCACACACCACACACAGCACAGGGGTTTTTTGTTCGTCCGCTTGGGAAGGTGCCAGGTCAGCCAGGAGCTGCCTGTGAGCTGCATTAACTGCAGAGGTCTGGTCCGCAGGCCTGGCACTCTGCATTATGCAGCCCTCCGCTCAGCAGCCAGGCAGCTCCTCTATTGTGTCGGCTGCTGATTGTATCCCACTGGCTCCTGTGCATGGGAAGGAATAGAAAAATAACTCATTGAATGGTCTCTGGGCTTTGCCTTCCTAGACAGGGAAATCAGAGAGAGGTTATGCTGAACCTTAGATAGCAGCTCCAAGGTTTATACGGCAGAGGCTCTGTTCCAGTGCCGGCTCTTCCACATGTTGAAGGGGCGGAAGTGTCTCAGCAAATAGCCAAACACCTTTTTATCTTCCACTTTTTGGTGTACCTTTTTACCCTTATCTTCAAAACACTCTCCAGATGAATGGAGAAGGAGAGGTGAAGACAGGGCTCCGAGTTTATGGCTGGCTCTTGTTGTTTCACCATGGCCAAATCGCCTAGGCCTGTGTATACTAAAACGGTGCACTAGTTTCATTAAAACAGGTTTTTAAACAAATTGTGTTAAACCAGCGGGAATCCCCAGTGTGGGCCCACTTCACCCAGTCTGAGCCCCCTGCTTGAAGTAGGTTAGCTTAATTCGGTGAGGCTCGGCCTGCGCGAGCAAAGCATCCTGTGAGACTGGATGAAAGTACTCCGCTGATCCCATTATAGGGCTTTCCATCAAAAAGCCGAACACCCTGGAAATGGCAAAGTGTTGCCAGGTTCAGAAATGCCCCGGCATGGGGAACTCATGCCACCATCTCCCACTGCGGGATGGACGCCTCCGCAGCGCTGCGCCTCCCCAGAGCCGCCG